ATTCAACAGCTGTTTCCCCAAAAATCCTCAGCTGGCCTTTACCACGTGAGTTGAATATTAGGCGTGCCACTTGCTTTGTCCAAAAACAAGAAAACGAGATTTTCCAGACGACCCTTCTCCTTTCCAACGGTCGACCTCCAATAGGATGGCTGGAAAGAATGTCTGTGAAATGAATTGCGCCCCAGACGATGTTGCAAAACAGAGGGTTGAGTTCTACAAAATGGGTTACTAATTGCCTTGGAAGCCTCCAAGGACTTCACAACCAAACAAGTGTAATAAAAGCTACAAATCTTAACATAAATGCAATATTCTGATGCAATTAAACTAACATGAACTAAATAACAGAAAATAACATGCCATAAAGATTAAATTCGCAGATAATAGAAAAAGTAAAATAATAAACAATGATTACAACTACGCAGCCCATAATGATAACTAAAACTGAAGAAGAAACTATGAAATGATTAAAGTATGGAAACTTATAAATTTAAATATGGAAATTGAAATTAAACAAACTGCATGTCTGGATATTGTGCAGAGACAAAAGAACAAAGGCAGAAAATGTTCATCCTGTTTACATGAACAAATAACATAACTAAATCCATAAAAGGAAGAAGAACTAACCGAATCAAAAGGGCAAACCTATTTTGAAAGCTAAGTTGCTTCCAAATGTTTAAAAACTAATTTAAATTGGAATTTGCAGAAGAAAATATGAACAAAGATGAACAAACCTAGGCTAAGGCTATGAACAAACCTAGGCTAAGGCTATGAACTAATCTGGAAAATCTGTAAACTATTGCTGAAATCTGGAAAATGCAGTCTGAAAGCTGAAAAACATGCTCTGGGCAGTCTGTATGTGTGTTGGGCAGGCCCTTGAACTGTTCTCTTTTCTCTGTTTTTATTTTCTTCGGTGCTGGAAACTTCCTCCATGATTTTCGGTACTCTTCCTCCATGACCTGGTAATGGGATTGCATGTTTGGTAGTTGTTTGACAGTTATCCGATAATTTCTATTTAACCTTATCTCCAACAACCTTAAAGATAACTATCTAAAAATCCTCAATTTCCCACTTTAAATCAAACTCAAACTACCAGATCCAATATCTTCTGCCACCTAAGATCCAACCTCCTTGAAAATCCGTCTGGGCCATTAAATTGTAAGCCAGTCCAGCCCAAATCCAGCCTATTGATTTTCTTGATAATTGGGCTTTACCTTGACATATGGCCTTACCCTATTAGTTTATTTTAGGTGTAAACAATAGCACTAAGCTGT